AAAAAAAAAAAAAAAAAAAAAAAAAGTATGATACTTATTAGAGCTTCCACCAAATCTCATTTCATATGTTAACAAAATGGCACATAAATTCCTATAAAAGTTTGTTTGACTATATTGCTAACCATATTTCAATGTAACTGATTTCTTCTATACTGTGTATTTCATTTTATCTAGTGGAAAACATTATTCTGAGAAGGGGTCAGATGGTCAGAGGGCCCCTGACCTGGGAGATCCCTTGGCTGTCCTTTGGCTTGGGATGGAGTGAACAGTGGTCTCGCTAAGATGGGGAAGAAGGGGAAGGGGCTGGAGGGGAGATGATCAGTCTGTTTCAGACAGTTTGGGCGTGATGTCTCGGGGGGCAGGCAGCTGGCCCCCTCTCCTTCATCAGTGGGTTCATCTCTCCTTTTCTTCCCCTGCACCAAACATCAAAAAATCCCCTCCATTTTTCCAAGCATGCAGCTCTTCCCCCAACCTGCTCACTCCAGCCACACAACAAAAGTTTGTTGTTGGCCACAGGCAGCCACCACCAGTTCTTGCAAGCAGGCTCCTTGTGGGGCGGGAGGTGGGGGACTCTTTCCTCTACCTCCAAGGGCTTCTCAAAGTTTCTACCCCTCAAGAAAACAAATAAACCAAGCCAGGTTTCCTCCTAGTGGGGAGACCCACTGCGAAAGCAAATAAGATTGTCACCATAATTCCAGGCAGATAAACAATCCAGGCTCAGGGAGGTTAATTGACTTGCCCAAGGTCATGCAGCTGGTCATTGCGGAGCTGGGATTAAACCCAGCTCCAGTTGGCTTCAAAGCCCTGTGCTCTTTTCACGGACTTGCACTGCAGGAGTGACCAGGCGGGAGGACGAAGATTTTAAGTCTTCAGAAAACAGTAACTGAGAAGTATGTAGCAGCCAGATGATGGAATAAGACTGAGGTAGCAAGTGGTGGAGAGAAAGGATTTTGTATTCATGCCTGGGAGAAGATAAACAGGAGAGACACAATATGAGGAGATAAACTTTGAGGCTGCTGCTGAGAGCTGGGCGTCCGGCCAGGAAGACACGGGAGGCTGGTCTTAAGGGAGCCCCTTGGAAACAGGGCAAGGGGTGGTGAGGGGCTTGGAGGAGGTAGAGAAGGCTTCTGCTCTGCTCCTGTGGGAAGGAAAGTGTGGCTTTCTGTCTAGAAGAGCTGGCAGGCAGGGTTGGGCAGAGGCCAGCAGCCAGGTCCCTGGGGAGAGGCTGGGGTCTGAAGTCCGCCAAACCAGCTCAGCCCAAGGCCAATGCCTTCTGGGGTGGTGGAGAAAGCGGAGACTGGGGCAGCCCTTCCTCTAACCAATTACAGTCAGCCCTCTGCAGCCGTGGGTTCTGCATCTGTGGATTCCACCAGCCCCAGAGGGAAACCATTTGGGGGGAAAAAAGCAATTAAAAAATAACAATACAACACTAAAAATAATACAAATTTAACAACAATACAGTATAACAACTATTTACATATAATTTACATTGTATTAGATTTTACAAGTAATCCAGAGATGATTTAAAGTACACAGGGGGATGCATGTAGGTTATATGCAAATATTAAGCCATTTTTTAAAAGTTAAAAAATTTATTATTATTTTTAAAGACGGAGTCTTGCTCTGTCACCCAGGCTGGAGTGCAGTGGCACAATCA